TGGCCGCTTGTTTGTCTTCAAGCCTTTAAGACCCCAGATTCTATATCTTATGGTAGCCGGGCACCATCAGCTTTCTTCCTTTGCTTTTGTTCACATTTTTCTTCAGCAATCGTTTCAGGAAGGTGTGCATCCTGGAATGCCAATTTAATAGAACAATGTGTTCTTGCAATGAGTAAGTGCTTAAGTGGAGGCCTAATGGGAAGGGACATTTTTTATGAAAGATGACCTTGAAGAGCTCATTCCTTTTCTTCCTTGAGAAGCCAGAGAGTAACTGTGTGTCACTCTCTTTTGGAGGAGCACCTATGATTTAATCTTAGAGTTTATCAGGTCAGTGTCTTCTAAAACTGCTGAATGCTGAGGAGATGTGTATCAGTCATTGAACCCTGGCTTTCCCTTAGGAGCCTCTTTTTTTTTTTCTTTAATGTGAAAATATATATACCAAAACATTTGCCAAAATGAGGGAGCTTCAGAAAGCTTGTGGAAAATTACAGTATCTTTAATTCCACTTTTCCATGAACTTTTTATAGCCCCTCCCATCATCTTGCAACTTTTACAAATCTCCAAATTTTCAAATCATAGTACTTTCTTAGACCTTTTTACTTTTAGTTCTAGTTCTAATTGTTGTGTTTATTCAGAGTATAACTTATTTGTATTGAAACTAAGTACAGTACTAAACTAGAGTTATTAAAGGTGCAGCAACACCCCAAACGTAAATAAATGTGCAGCAACCCACTTAATGATTTGGGGACTTGGTCCAGTTAACTGACTTGCTCCTACATACTTGATTTGGACTGCATAGGATATTTTCTTCTGAAAAAAATTAAAAGTGTCCCATGATGTTAAGGCATTACTGTGAATTTGGTAGATGTTTGAAAGGCATTCAAGAAGTTTGCTGTCATCTTGGCTTCAGGCAGAGTGTATTGGAAAATAGATTACCTCCACCCGTTTCCAACCGGCCCAGGGAGGGTTAATCTCCCTGAGGGGCTTGCCTGGGTGTGTCCTGGATGGAGATCACCTTACTGGGGACAGTCCAGGGGAACACTTAGTCATGAGTCATCCCCATCAGATGTGCCCTGACTGCCTTTATCAGAAGGCCCTGGACCCATCTTGTAAGATCTTTTGTCTAACTCTGTCCTACTCATAGTCCTATTCCTGCTTCTATAGTCCCACCTGTAGCTGTGATGTATGGATCTGCCACCGATCATGAATTTGACAGTTCCCATTAGTCCATGCCCTAGTTATCTAGCTTCCAACTGTGAATCCTCATCTGCCATTTTAGCCTTGTGTTAATGGCCTCCCTCTGGATGATGTGTCTGTGCTCTGTATTGTCTTCACCTCCTTTAAGATGCGATATTCTCCTTAGCTTAAAAAACAAAACAAAACAGGAGGGAAAAAACTTGTGGTCAAAAGGAATAAAAAGATAATGGAATTTTTCCACAAAATTTTATGTCACTTTCTGCAAAAAAGTACATATAGTAGGTAAAATTATTGGTTTACTTTAACACTTACAGCTATAAAAGGCATTATATGGACGATTATATTGGTGTAAATTTCAAGAATTTGGCCATTGTACTGTGTCTGTGGAGAATGGCCTCATCCACAGAAATGTTTAGGAATAACTGGATATGATATTTGTAACTTATTTCAAAATGATTCAGGGAAAATAAAGTATAGGAAAGTATTTGGGAGATAATTGAAAGATGATTGACAAAATATTGATAATGGTAGAAGCTGTATCATCATATGAGTATATTATAATTCATTATGCTACTTCAATTGTTTTGTGATAAACTTTTCAAAATAGAATGTTTAAAAAAAGTATTTCATGAGCTTTGGGTATTGTGAAGAATTAAAATTATGAATGTTAAATTGAACACATTGGCAGGGTCTACTGAAATTTGGTTTGCTTGCGGATGTTAGACTTATTTTCCTGTCATGTGAAATCTCTACACACACACCACCACCACCACCAACATCACCACCACCATCCCAGCCCCCATAGTGATAAGGTTATTTCTCTCACTTTCACAGAGTAAAAAGAAGAAGAAAACGGATTTTATTCCATACAGGGACTCTGTACTTACTTGGTTACTTCGGGAGAATTTAGGTACGTTTATTCAGTCTAACTGTAAAAATTCATTTTGTAGTTACACTTTTAAAGCTCTTTACCAATTACCTTTTGTGATCGATTGTTTTGCAAGTGTCATTTGGAAAAGACTGATCCTGTAATCTCTGTACTACTGACTTGAGTGTTCTTTGTTGGCTTTTGTTGTTTACTCTATTTAAGCTAGTTGGACTCACTAACCTTTAAATCTCCTACACTTCAGGAGACACAGTGGGCTACTTGTCCTCCTGGTTCTTACACCTGCACCTCCTTCTTTCAAGAAACTATGCTTCACGGGTAGAGCCCCAGAGGCTATGGCCCATAATCACCTTTCAGGTCTGAAACTGAACATACTCCCATGTTACAATATCAGCCATTTAAGATCAAAAGGGCAGAATTTCCCAAGGACAAAATACAGAGGGTTGGAATAGAAGGGGGTGGGAACACAGGGAAGGATTGGTCAGCGAGGTACACTTAGGAGGTTGCAGTGGGATGTGTTGGGGAAAATAGTGCATATGGAGTGTCAACTATGAACTTTCACCTAATTCACATCAAAATTTTAAGAAACCCTATGATCGTTTGAGATACACATAATCAAATATTACTATCCCATATTTTTTTCTTTACACTGATGTTTACGTTCAGTACACTGCCCTTAATTCACCGTTCATTTAGCCTTTTTATTTCCTCAAGAAAGTGCAATCTGTCATCACCTGTGTCAAATAATTACCAGTCTAATCCTTGCTGAAGAAAGAAGTGAAGAATGAACTATAGGACTTATCAACACCAGCAGTGACTTTCTAAGAGCAGTTTTAGTGGGTGGTATGGCTGAAATCTCTTGGTTGGAGGGAATTCAAGAAAGTGCAAGAAGAATTGGACGTAGTAGACATCAAAACTTGAGTTGGACAAAGCATGGGCTGAGGGAGGTCATTCAAGAAATTCATTGACTTTTTATTAACTCCTAGATCTGAGATACGCAGATGTATGTCTAATTTATGAATAATTATATGTACTATAAGCTTTTGACACATTAAGATTCTAATTTCAAAATGAGTTATTTGAAAGAACTGTGATACACGCTTTTAGGTGGCAATTCCCGGACTGCGATGGTGGCTGCTCTGAGCCCAGCCGATATCAACTACGATGAGACTCTGAGCACTCTGAGGTACTCTTACTCTGAATTGTCCGACTTTCCTTGTGCTTCATGGGAAGGCGTTTATAGAAATGACCCTCATAAGAACGAAACTCGAGGGGAAAGCATCCTTATCATAATGGAATTTTTTTATGGCCTTCAGTTTCTTTGGCAGAGACAGAGATTTTCTGTTTTTATAGAAAATATGTTAGAATTGCTTAAGTAAGAATTTGGGTAACTTAAGATAATAAAGTTTCTTATCATAACCATTTCTATAAAATATTTCCATTTCATGTAGTATTTATCATGGAAGTATTAAGAAATACCATTTTGAATACAAGTACCATAAAAACATTACTGACAAATTTTTCAGTAATAAAATATTTTTATATATTATATTAACTGGGAACTTTTGACCTTTTTCCCTGCTAAAGGCACTTTTAATCTAATGGATTTGAATGAACTTTGGACAAATCACTTTAAATTCATCTAATCCTTTTTCCTGGTTCTTTATGTACCTTACAGCTTTAGGTGAATATATTATTATCAAAGCTCTTAAAACATACAAATACTCAGTATGCTTGATTTAGGATCAATGGTATATTGCTTATGAAAAATAGAGCATATGAGAAAAGGCGAAAATGGATTTTCTTCTTGGATCTAGATATGCTGATCGAGCAAAACAAATTAAATGCAATGCTGTTATCAATGAGGACCCCAATGCCAAGCTGGTTCGTGAATTAAAGGAGGAGGTGACTCGACTGAAGGACCTTCTCCGCGCTCAGGGACTCGGAGACATTATTGATAGTAAGTGGATCAGCAACAGTAGGAAACAAAATCAAGTCCTTTCTTCTTCAGTGTTCTTACATTTAAAAGACGCTTAAGAAAGTTACAGACCCAGGGAAGCTAGGTGACAATGAAAGGTTTCTTCTTTAAAATCCCAGTGAAAAATATCTGAGAATTCTTTTATGTAGTATCTGCCAGGTTACTCATTAAGCTTAGGAGTTTTTAAAACATGAATCTATCACTACTGGGAGTTTTATTCGAATTTGATTTAGATCTCAGGTGATATTTATTTGAAGTATCAGACTTACTCTCACAGAAAGCAATCACTTCTTTAAAATATCACTTGAAACTTTTGATTTTCTGTCATGGGTTTCTCTGGAACAGTGTGATAGCAGTGCTATAAATGTAAGAAATCCACCATTTCATTCTACTCTCAAATTGATTCTTTCATCTTTGAATAGCACCTCCCACAAAGTGATCAAATGTCCCTTTCTCTATAAACATGAAGCCCTGATGGTATAGTGGGCTGTGCACTGAGCTCCTAACCACAAGGTCAGAGCTTCAAACCCACCAGCTGTTTCTCTGAAGAAGGATGAGCCTGTCTGTTCCTGTAAAGATTTAAAATCTCAGAAACCCAAAAAGGGCAGTTCTGCTCTGTCTTTTAAGGCCACTATGAGTAGGAAGCAGTTTGATGACAGTGAATTTGAGTTTGATTTCTCCATAAACATGAAGGAATAGAAACTTAATTCCTGTCAAGTTCAAGAATTAGACTTCCAAAGAGTGTTGTCTTAAAATGTACTTTTTAACCTCAGTGATATATCTACATAATGTCTAACCAAAAGTTCCTTTAAATTCATAAAATAGATAATTCAGATAGAAAAGTGTGTGACATATGGGTGTTATGTACAGAATATGGGTTTATTGAATAAAGCATATTTAAAATATTTTGAGCATAAGATTAAAATTCTTTGAATTCTTCCTAACATTTTTAAGACCTTTTCTAGTTGTTCTTCCTGATTAGTTCCTGAGTTTATGTAAATATAATGTGTAAAAATGATAATATTTGAAGTGTGATTTTTTTCTTTCTTTCCAAATGCCAAATACTGCTTTGTTCCCAATCTGTGTTACTACTGAACCTGAACTTTGACCCTTCTTATATTTCCCTCCTGCTTACCTTCAGTTGATCCGTTGATCGATGATTACTCTGGAAGTGGAGGCAAATGTGTGTATCTCATGTATTGGTTTTCTCCAGTACTCTGACTTGCTAATCTGCCTCTGCTGGATCAGCCTTAAGATGAGCTTTGCATGCCAGCAATCCTAACAGGGAAATCCCAGACGGAGCATACTGTAGAATCAAAAATGATCCTATTTTTGTCCTTCTCCATTTAGCAAAGCTGTCTTTATCGAGTATTGGTTTGTGGGTTGAGTAACTACAAGAAACCGAAGAATCTCTTCATTTTCTACTCCCCAATTTTCCTCCCATGTGATTAAACTAGATCCAAAGTCATAGAAACTGATGATGACAGCAGTGATGATAACGATAATAGCAGCTGGCATTTATTGGGCATTTACAACATGCCAGGCATGATTCTATATATCTCAAGTATATGATCTCATTCAATCCTTTCAGTGGCCCACAGAAGTTCCTACCATGCCCTTTTACCAATGAGGACATGGCTGCTGGAATGACTAAATTACCTGAGATCTTCCCATGGTTTCTATTAGTTGGGTGTGGAAGTTTAACTCAGAGGCCTTGCTATAAATCCTTAATACACGAACACTTTATTGGCTTCTTGAGTTGCTCCCATCATGGACTGATTATTTAAAAGAAAAGGTATTTTCAGTTAGCCTTTGTGGATATATTTAATTAAAAACAATCACTTTTTAAGTCTGCCAAACTACCCACAATAAGATACCTCTATATATGTTGGTTAGCATCCACCTATATTTATGCTAAATTGGTTTCTTCCATATCATGGCCCTCAGCTTACTTAAATAAACGGTTTTTGTTCTTTTCATAAACTGAACATCTTTCTTTAAAGTAGGGTAGTGAGATATGTGTACTTGATATTAGAGACATTTTAAAAAGTATGTACATATTATTCTTTCCATTTGTATCATTAAGCTGGTGAGAATAATTTCTCACCCATTTAAAATAGCTTATTAGACTATCATAAAGGGAGCAGTAGCTTAGCTTGGCAATAGAAATAGCTTCATGTCTTAGTGGCCATGAAGAGCCCTGATTTTCTTTTTTTGGTGTATAGAATTTGAGATTTTTATTTCTACAGTAGGGCATATAATGAGGTTTGGCAGACAATGTGTGAGATACATAGGGGAAAACAAACCTAGACCTGAAAACTGTGATGGCAGTTTAATGCCCTAATATGTAAGTAAGTGGCTCTTGGACTGGAATAGCTCTGTCTGAGATTTCCAAAGCTGAACAGTACTGGTGTGGACAAGATGGCCATTATAGATTTGCTTTTGTGCTCAAGGTGTTGCTGCTACCAGCTTGTTGCCTAACTCGTCTGAGCAGCCGTGACATCTCCCAAACAACTCTGCATGATTGTTTGAATTCTGCATCTTTGCAGGAACACAGCCCTGATTGGTTCTGAATATCCCTGTTGATCTACCACTATACTTGTTTTTAGGGCTTGCATGTGTCCATTGGACCTTCTAATTGCCATTTACCCTATTCTTTCCCACCTTGCTGCCTTAACCTGGTAGCTTATTTTTTGCTCTGTACTCTAGCCCCATTTAAAACATGCCTCTGCTTGTATTCCTATGTTCTATATTTGCTGATGGTGGTTTTCAAACTGTCTTGAAGCAACCACTGGTTTTAAGGGGCTTCAAGAACTAACTGATTATTAGAGAGTAGAGAAGAGTAGACTCAGAGAGAACCGATACTAAGTTGTTTGGATTGGCTCTATTACATCCTTTAAGGAACACTTAATTTTGATATAAATTTAAAGCAACGTAGCGTTTTCTCAAATTTAAAAGATCAGCTCATTTTGAAATAGGAATTCACCAGTACCTCTGGTTTTCCTCTGGTGCCCATTTGAGAAGGACAGCAATGAAGGACGTACAGGCAGCAGCCTCAGGAGGTTTGCTTGTGGTTCTTTTGCCAAGACTAGGTTTAAAAGCAATGTTCACTGTGTTAGAGAATTTATCACATGCAAGAATATCCTTAGAACTTGTGTTTTGCAATGACCCTTGGTCATACTGTTAGGCCTTACTTAAAATAATAAATAACCAGCCGTAAATTGTGCTTGTTCTGATAGGTAAATGTTAAATTTGTTAATTTGCTCATTCATCTTCCCTGTTGAAGAAAGCACTTGGCCCTGAGGTTGTAATCAGGCCGTAACACAAAGTTCCATCATTTCTATGCATACCACTCCTTTTGAGTAAAGGCGTGTGTAAAACATTCCTTTTGGCGTGTAGAAATGTTTGAGCACACTCAGTGCTCAAGTTTTTGTTTTGCCTTGAATATTTTCTTGGAAGTTTTTCTGAATACCATAAAACACTGGACCCAACAGATAGGGATTGTTTCTCTCTCTCTTACTGTTGCAGTCTGTTGGAATTTAAGACTAGTGTAAATCTGAAGGCCCCTAGGCTTGGAGCAGCAGAAGGAATGTAGTCTGCCTGTGCAGAAAGAGTGCCTGAGCAGTGCCCTTGAAGGCTCTGCTGCCACCTCTCAGATACCATGTTAGCCCGCCCTGGAAGTTTTTAGTATCAAAATTAGAAAGTGGTTCTTAACCTCTCAAATACTAGTATTAAAGACAGACATGTTTTAGAACTGCCATCTTGAACAATTTTACCTTGTCTTTGTATTGCAGTGGCGCTTTAAGCTGCTCTGTCTTACACTGGTGTTCCTTCCTGTCTTTTTTCCTTTCTCTGCTCCTTCCCTTCTTCTCCACTTTTTTCTGCCTCCCTTCTTTCTATCTCCCAGATCTGAAAGATTTTCAGAACAATAAACATAGGTACTTGCTAGCCTCTGAGAATCAACGCCCTGGCAATTTTTCCACAGCATCCATTGGGTCTCTTACTTCATCTCCATCTTCCTGCTCACTAAGTAGTCAGGTGGGCTTAACAACTGTGACCAGTATTCAGGAGAGGATCATGTCTACACCTGGAGGAGAGGAAGCCATTGAACGTCTAAAAGTAAGTAAGCATTCATAGAATGCATGGTGTTCTGTGTACCTCCAAAGACGGGGG